ACGCAGTTTAACAATAAATGTAATATTAATAACACAATTAATGAAACCGTCGGCAATAGAAACAGTAATCTTAATTAATACAAAGGTGTTGCTTAATTAATACAAAGGTGTTGTTCTCGGCAAGGAGTAAGGCGGACACTGCACATTTTGTTTAAAAATCCGTCCATCAGAAATGTGATGTCGATTTTAAAAGTTGTAAATTTTATCGTTTTGTACTTATTAATGTCATGGGCTACAGATCTAACTGCATGTGCAGAAAAACCTTCATAATTTGGGTTCGAACATCGTTTGCAGGTTGGGCCGAGCGTCGAGCGACTGAGCGTGAGGGCCAAGTGTCGAGAGTTCTGTGTGCCGCCACACTTACCGAGGCGAGGGCCGAGGTGGGGATTTCAGCGTAGCGCCGAGGTAAGCTCGCGATGGCGGTTTCGTCTGTCGCTGGCTCTGCCAAACACATTGGCTATCCTCCCCCCCCCCCCCCCCTTTCCTCCCGTAACAACCTCCTCCCCTCGCACTTCTCTTCACAAAAGTGTCGACGAAAGAGGAGGAGAGAGAGAGTGTGTGTGTTCTTGTTTCATTCTTTCACGCCGATCATAGAATACGAAGTAATAGACTAAGCGAAAGGGAGGAAGAGTAAGGAGGAAGAATGAAAAACCAGTGAGAGGAAAGGAAAAAAAGTTTGTATTTTCTCCCGTCGTGTTCCTTTCTCAACGTTCATCCTTCACGCGCTAATTGGAGGGGCGGGGCTTACGTCTTGTTCCTCGACCAATCATCTGGTAGGGAAACCCCCTATTGGCGTGACGCTAATTAGGTGCGGGGAGGGACCGCGGCCCAGCACGGGTTTGACTAGTAACCTATCAGTAAAAATCAGAGGGGGGAGCCCTCGCTTTCTTTGCTTTGGAGGTTGCGATGATTTCTCACGGAAGATCGAGGAATCGACGGATACGCTTGAATCCAACTTAGCTAATGACATGGACCTGAGTCTACACACGGCGCTCAGTTTCCAGGCACGTCGTGGCGGGTGAACACAGAGGATTTCCCCTGGACACCACCAGTTCGTCTTCAGCTACGGACTCGTGGGCAGGATAGATGGCAGATGGAGTTTCTTTTGTAGACGTTTTATGATTATTTTGTAACTTATTTCAGTTGGAAATTCCTTACTTTGTTTGGTGCAAGTTCTTGCTGTGCCCTGCATCAAGCAACGCTGTGAATTTGACGCAAGGCAATTTGATTCACGTGGATCAGGGTATTGCGAGGCCGAAAGCTTTCAGTTGTAATTGAAAGAAAACATCCACGGATATAATTTGATCCAGACCTTGGCTTGAATGACAGTGATTGCCTCTGCTTAAAATTCCCTCGTGCACCCAGCACGTTACGTCAGCTGGATTTTGTTTGCCATAAGCCTTATATTCAAGGAGACTTGGTTGTAACTTCTACATTTTAGGTCAAACAAATGAGAAAAGGAATTGACCCAACAACCACGTAGCTGTGGTAAAGAACTGTTTCTCTTGTTTGGATTATTATTGTTTGAGGTAAGTTTAAGGGTGTTTGTGTCTGATCAGCGGTTGTTTCACACGCAACGGTGTTATGGTGTTGTTTGTTTTGTTTGTATTTGATCCCAGCCTTTCTTTTTTGTTTGTTGGCTGTTCGCTTCTGTTTATCATGTTTTTGTCGGCTGTCTGGAAATATTATCTCACTTTCCACTCCATCAACACTCAGGAGTATGGAATGGGTTATAAGTGGCTATTAATATTATTGCTGCACTTTCTTTTGCCTCCAAATAGGCCTTTAGGCCTATAATATATTTTTAAAATGTTTTTTTTTTCTCATCTAGACTCTAGATCTATATCGGTCCTTTCTCTCTTAAATAGATATTAGGTACTCCATTGTGTGAAGTACCCTGCATGTTATCGTATCGTTATTACATTACTACACTATTAACACTATTACGCCAGTAAGGGAGGGTACGAACAATGTAAAATTTAAGTACGAGTTTGGTTTTTAGAAATGCACAGTATGCTCTTTAAACAACAACAACAACAACAACCCCTAATATTTACCCAATTGTAATTACATGTATTATTAATCGTTAGATCTACTTTAAATTATGTTCACTCATATGTGGGGATCTTTAGGCAGGCAATAAATCTCATTAATCTTGGGTTAGCATGATTTTGTCTCGATAAGTTAGGCTCGTGGCAAAAGTTAATAGGCTAGAATCTAGATCTATTTATTTACTTAGAAAAATGCACGACTTTGCCATTAGAACAAGATTGCAGCCAAGTAAACAAGCCTAACGCTGTTTAGCAGTATTCTGAAACCATTCTATTTCTGTTAACGTTTCATTTTCCTAAATTATACATCTTGTGACTTTTATGGGTCTGGTTACCGAAACTGCCTTTACTCTTTTCTTTCTGGTTTCTGACACTGCCCCAAATGTCACCGGTTGTAAATAATTGATCTCCGTTTATTGTCACGTTTTCCTCACCTTGTTGTCAACAATAAAAGTACGGCGAATCGTGTACCTCGTGACGCCAGTTCCCCGTAATACTATCCCAGATCAACCCTGGCCTCCTGTATCTTTTGCCTAACAATTACCGCGCTTTTTATTTTGCCATACCCATCAACCTCTTGTCACCTACAAATCCGTAACTCTCTTCTCTCTCTCTCTCTCTCTCTCTCTCTCTCTCTCTCTCTCTCTCTT